CAACAAATCAAAGGAACGTTGTAGGTTTTGGGAGCTATTTGCGATGATCCAGAATCTCGCGCAAGATGTAAGTACGGTTCGAGGGGGGGAAGCCTTTTCTAAAGCCGGCTTGCTCGGCTTGTAAAAGATCAGACTCAGAAGCATAACAGTCGAGACGACTAAGAAGCACTTAAATTTCGAAAATCTTATAAACAGAGGAACTAAGGGAAATGGGCCGGTAAGAAGAAGGTAAAAGCATGTCAGCATCATGGCCTTTGGGAATAAGGTGGATCAAAGCTCTGCTCCAAGCCTGTGGAGTTGCTTCAGAAGACCAGATGCTTTGAACGAGGAGGTGGAGGGAGGAGCATAAGTAGGAGCCACCATGCTTGAGACTCTTGAGAGCCGCTCATTGAAGACGAGGTCTAGTCCTGCAAAGCGATCACGATATATCGGGAAATATATTTCGGTATGGCAATTCGGAAATACCAAGATATGGAAGCCGCGGGCACACAAACTCAAAACATAAACCTAAAACCTGAAAGATTACGCGCTCCGCATCTTTATTATTGTGACCCTTTTAACTCCTGGCAACCACCAAACTCACCAATCCACCAAACCAACCGCCGGCCGTTCTGAGAGTCACCCGGGTGCCTATCTTATGCCTATGCCCTGTTTACATGTAGTTAGGTTTGCTGCTTTTTGCCAGTAAATTTTTTTTTGTGGCAGCGTGGAAGCATGTGAACGCACCTTTGGAAAACCGGCCAAAACCGAGTTCGGATTTCGGTGGTTTTTGCTGGTCGGCAAAACCTGGCAAAAACCAGCTGAAAACTCGACCCAATTTTTTAAGCCGGGTTTTGGTGGTTTTCGCCGGTTTCGATAGTGCTGCCTTTCCTACCAGGCAATATTTGCCCGTGGAACGGTCCGGCGATGACCGGTAGAAATTCGAAGTCGTGTCTACCCGACCGCGGAACCGAGCAATATGTGAACGAGAAGGCTTCAAATGGTCGTGTTTTGAAGCCTCCAAAACCAGCTTGGTCGGTTTTGGGAAGGGGGGGGTTTTCACGCTGCTGGTTTTTGCTCAGTTATCGCCGGTTTTGGTGGTTTTGGTGGACACATGTGAACACAGCGTTGATGGTTATGCAGCACCGGCATGCACCTCATGTACTATCATGACCGGTGTTAAGATTAACTTTTCCGATT